CGGAATTCCCTCGAGAGAATACTCTTTCCTCGGACATCATGGGACATCCCGGGACGTCCTCAAACGTGAGTATAATCTACGTGACTAATTTTATTATGGTAAAATAAACAAAAAATCTTTCACAGGTCACGCTAGCAAAACAAGAACCAATAATAAAAGTAGGGTGGATAGTTCACAGCCGAAATGGTAGCCCGTAACCGCCTTTCTCGGGATATCACGAGGAATCTTGGATGAGCTCGTTTGCCGCTAGATCCCCGGTGGTTCCGTGAGGTCCTTCAAAACTTCCTCCCGTTCCGCTGATTCACCCGGCGTTTCCTTGGGGAAGTCCTCCTGCCGCCCCACTACCTCCTTGGAGGCTCCTCGGAGGCGTCTCCCCGGTGCTCCTCCGCCCTACTTGGTGGTTCCTCCGAGACGCCTCCCTGGCGATCCTTGACGGAGATTCCACCGAGGCGTCCCCTCGGTGCTCCTCGGCCTTTGTCGGCGGTTCTTCCGGGGCGTCCTCGTCTGGACTCCCCATCAATATTTCCAGGAGCTGCTCGGGGGGTGCAGCCCTCGAGTCAGGTTCTCCGCCGACGTGCCTCCCAGGAACAGGTTCCGTGCGACCGATGTCCACGAGGTCCGGTCCACTCGGCGATTCGGTTGGTTCGGTTGTGACCGGAGCGCGGATGACCCATAAAAATTGGACCTCACCTATATGGTGACACCTACCTATATTGTACCTATTTGATACCTCTATAGCCCTCCTGTGTGGACCCTCGATGGTACCCGTAATGGTAAGGTGCCTCTATGGTTTGGTTCCTGTTTGGCCTTTCTGTATGGACCCTCGATAGTACCCTAAACGGTATGGTACCTCTATGGTCCTCCTATTCGGAGCCTCGATGGTGTCCTATTGGGCCGGTTGGTTACCTTGATGGTCCACCTAGATGGGACCTCTACGGTGAGAGTCTGGTACCGGGATGGTACCGGGATGGTACTCCTACGTAGCTGGTTCCAATAAACAGGATGGTCCACCTGTAAAGGTCCGCGAAAGTACCGCGATGGTCCCGAGCTAATATTTATGGACAAACTCAAAAATCTTTGGTTAAAACTGTCTGTCTTGAGTTCCGCGCCTCAGCTTTGTCCCCGACGCACCTCTTATTATCGGTCGCCACCTTATTTTTTGGATAAATAAGGAAACCTTCGGATTCGAATTAATATCAATGAAATCTATGTGAAATGCTAGTTCGCGTCGCTGGATGGATTCTTTATTACAGTCGGAACCTATATGGAATACAATCGTATACGAACGGAGGATAGGTACGATGGGTACATATGTATATATCAAACAAATGTTGAACAAACAGTATCACATATATATTTATAAAATACAATAACACTCTTATACTATACCTTGAAATAATAATTATTATTGTTGTTACTCGCTACGTCGCTTGCAAGGGACCACGGCCTTCGCGCCGTCCTATATGGTCGGATGGTGTTTGCGTATACTATTCAGGCTTCCGCTTATCGAACTTCTTTAACGACGCGCGTCTTAAATAACCGCTTTGGGCTTTTATCAATTTTCGTATACCGAACGTCGGAGTCACAGAGTCGTGAATATTATTCACTATCGAGTATTACTGACCGCGAATACCTATATGGTACAATCTCGTAGACGTAGTATGGCGCGATTCGCTAGACAATTACATGTAGCACGTCGGAATGGAAATAAACGAACTTACGATTATGCTCGAGGAATGTCTAGTACTTACGGGAGGTTTACGCCGTCCTGCAGCCAATTATTCCCGGAAGGGCCTTCTACCGCGCCGCTCGCAACGGCCGCTTTCTCTATCCCTTGGGATCCGCCGCTTCCTTTGGGATTCGGGACGTTGCTTGGTGAGCCTCCTCGTAATATGCACTCACACGCGAACCTCGAACAGCAGGTCTTAAAAGGATAGCAACCTTTGACTTTGAGAGACTGTCAGCTTGTACCACCAGGTACAGGTAACAATGCCTCTCTCTGTAGTCGCCGTGCGCTCGGGATAGCACTAGAGATGTCGCTTCCGAACGACATCTCTCAACGTTATCTGGGGAGGGGAGAGTGTCGTGAGCGTGGAGCGTCAGATAGCTCAGTGGTCTAGAGCAGTCGCCGGCAAGCGAAAGACCCGGGTTCGATTCCCGGTCTAGCGACTACCGCGCTCTCGATATTTTTCTCTCCTCGGAACGAAAAATGAGATGCAAGTCCCGAACGCACGGCGTCCTGTCGCCACCTAGTACGCCCTCCTTCTTTCATGGTGGATCCCCCTTCGGCGCGTTGCAAAACGTGTCCAAGCGCCCGGGGGCAGCCAAAATATGGCGTCGACCCCGGGGCTTATTTCTATTATTTGCACCGGATAAGGAGGGGCAACGGTGGAGGCCGGCATACATGGACAGCAGGTTTTAAAAGGATAGCAACCTTTGACTTTGAGAGACTGTCAGCTTGTACCACCAGGTACAAGTAACAATGCCTCTCTCTGTAGTCGCCGTGCGCTCGGGATAGCACTAGAGATGTCGCTTCCGAACGACATCTCTCAACGTTATCTGGGGAGGGGAGAGTGTCGTGAGTGTGGAGCGTCAGATAGCTCAGTGGTCTAGAGCAGTCGCCCGGCAAGCGAAAGACCCGGGTTCGATTCCCGGTCTAGCGACTACCGCGCTCTCGATATTTTTCTCTCCTCGGAACGAAAAATGAGATGCAGGTCCCGAACGCACGGCGTCCCGTCGCTACCTAGTACGCCCTCCTTCTTTCATGCACTCCACACACTATACCTCGGCTCGCAGCCCTAACTTCAGGGACGTATCACGCAAATCTCGCAAGGCGCATTTATTAATAAGAAATAAAAATATCGCTCGTATAACTAAACGAAGTACAATATATGAAAACTAATCACGGCGATAAGTACCTTACCGGATGAGGAATAAATGCGCAAAAGTACGTTTTACAAATTATGGCTAGAACCATAATCGGCCTATAAATAATCAAATTTTCAACACCGCTGTACTTGGAAAGACGCTATTATAACTATTTTTACATGTCCCCTATATGAGATTCTATATGGTGTTGTAATGGTCCTATATGGTTCCCTAATTAGTACCCTGACTGGACTCCTTCCTGGTGTCCTAAATGGTATCCTTCGTGGTCCCCTAATTGGCAGCCTTGATAGACCTATATGGTAACCTGGAAGGTGTCCTTAGTGGCTCCTAGATGGATTCCCGCATGGCATCCTATATGTGTTCCTGCATGGTGACCTACGTGGTCTCCTTCGTGGTCCTCTAATTGGCAGCCTCGATGGGCCTATATGGTAACCTGGATAGTGTCTCTACGTGGCTCCTAAATGGATTCCTGCATGGCGTCCTATATGTGTTCCTGCATGGTGACCTACGTGGTCTCCTTCGTGGTCCTCTAATTGGAAGCCTAGATGGACCTATTTGGTAACCTGGATGGTGTCCCTACGTGGCTCCTAGATGGTGTCGAAGCTTCTAGTGGTTGATTAGGACCTAAGTGGTACCTCGGTGATATTCGGATCGTTGGTCAAGATCTTAATGATATCTAGCGGGTCGGTTTGGTTAGGTGGTCATCGTATTTCCCACACAATTTATTACTATTGCCCACCATTTTGTGGGTTTAAACCAGATAACTTAAATTATATTTCTTACAACAAACTTAACGTTCTTTTTCTTTTGTCACTTAACTTATAACTTCTTTTTCGGAATATAAAATCTTTAATCTTATTTTTCTTACTGTATCCTAACCTGTTTAAACATAAATTAATATAATTCAATTTTCTTCTTACAAAAAATTCTCTTTTAACTAAACTTTGTCTCTTTATACTTTCATTTTTACGAATTAACATAACATTCTTAATCTTCTTATCCCATATAATTTCTTAACCTACTTTTACATGTCTTTATTACCACATCATTTTGACTTATGAAGCTTCTTATGAACCATCTTAACTTTTCATTAAACTCAACATGCTTGTCTTTTTTAACATAAATAAAAGGATTATAACCGATATTAATCCGGTCTCAACTTAATACATTTCTTTCTTATATCGTAATAAATATAAAACATAATCGTCATTGCTCTACTAATTTTAACAACTTAAACTTTTAATGTTTCTTTTTCTCGGTCATTCCTCTCCTCTTCATCATCGCTTTTCGTCTCGTGGCATCCTCATGATAGCTTCGTCCGCCACTCTGCATCCGAGGACGGGTGCACCATGCCCCGCAAATTTTCTCGATGCCACAAGATCATTCAAATATGACTGGTTGTTTGTATCATATTATAATTGTTTTTGTATATTCGTTGATGTTTCCGTTTCTTGTATATTTGTTATTTGTTCTGTTTGTGTAGTTTTTATTATTGTCAGTGATTCGTCTGACATTTTTAATGTTTGACCTGTTATGTTTGTATTGTCTTGTGGTTTAGAGGAAATTTTTTGTTCTGTTAATGTAGTTGTTTGTACTGGGTCTTGTGTAACTATTTGTATAGTTGGTGTGCTCGTTTCCTTTGGAGCAAATGTTTCACTACTTCTTCTTGTTGATTTTTCTTTGTTGCTTTGTTTTTTGTTTTTCGTTGGTTTTGTTGTTACTATTTTTATGGTTTGTTTGTTTCTTATTGGTATTTCATCCTCCTCGCTGTCAAATGACGACAAGTTAATCTGGTAATGCTTTCTTTTTATTTTCTCTTATTTATATTTCTTCAGCTCCTTTTCTGTCCATGACCTATATTGTCCTCTCTCGTTTCTTGGTCTAGGGATCACTGTCAAGATGACATATGGCTTTTCGATCTTGTGAGAGGATGTTTCATCGCTCGAATACCGCGTCATTTTTATCATTTTCGGTATTTTGTATGTTGCACTTGTATACGGTTTTATTTTCCTAGTAGAAGTTGTGTAAGTGCCGCTCGTCGATGGTCCGTTAATGTCTTCTCCTTGTAATGACATTAATTGATATTGTTTTTTTTTCTTGTTGTTCAGCCCTTATTGATTCTCGGAACTTTCGCTTGCTGTTCTTTCCTCCCGTCTCCTGGCTTCTTCTCTTCTCTGTCGCATCTCTTTATTTATTTGTCTTATCTCCTTTTTCAATTGTTCTCTCATAAATTGTTCCCTTTCCATTCTTTTTCTTTCTAGCATTTTCTGTAACTCGTCAAAGTCATCTGGTAAGTCGTCACTGTCGCTTTGTTTTTCCTGTTGTCTGTTGTCATCCATCTTGTTGTTTTTCCTGGATATAATTGATTGGTTATTGTTCGTTTGATTTTTGTTTAGCTTCGTGGCGGGCTTATGTCCTACTTTTACATTTTTCGTTCAATCGTTAACATTCTTCGCGTTCGCGTTTCTTAATCTACTCGCTCGCTCTACGTCGCTTACGTTATGTTTCTGTTTTATTATTTTTGCGGATGGGTTTGGGATTAGGGTGGGTGCTTTTACTTTTTTGTTTTTGTTATCGTTATATTTAGAGTTATTATCGTTTGTAATAACGTTTTCGCTGATTTCTTCTCTGCCCCCGCTGTTTTCTGTTATATTTTTTTATTTATATTGTTATTTGTTAACTTTTCGTTGTTTCTATTATTCTTTTCTATATCCCTGTTATATTCTTTTGATGAATTGTTATCTTCTTGACCAGGACTTCTAAATCCTGTATATTTTGTTGTCTGCGTTCTCTGTTCTTTATGTTTTAAATTCATTTTACGTAAATCCGTTTTGGTCTAAATTAAATGTTTCGTCGAAAGAACGATCGTTATTACTCTCACTGCTGGAACTTGATTCTGAATCTATTACATTTTAATGAATCTTTTCAATATTTCGTAAGCTATGTTGTAATTTTGAAAACAGCGCTATTTCGCTTAATTTAACATCTACTTTTTCTAACGTTTCAGCAGGAAATCTTTGAAAATATCCTAGGAATATTTTAAATAATGCCTGATATGGTTCGTCCCAAATTGTGGTCGTTATAATTCCCGTTATAGTGAAATTTTCGTTTTCGAATGTATTAATAAGGGATCGTATGTCATTCTAGTGAATAAACAATCATAAATATCAAATTTTGTCTTCAAAATTTAATTGTTTCGTTTTCTGAATGTTCGTTAGGTCTAAATTCTGCTAATTTTTCCATCGGTATCGCGAATTCTGTGAAACATAAATAACGCATGTTCGGATGTCATATCATCATCTGTTTGTTTTTCAGCTAACATCTTTCGTGCTGGTTTTACATTCGTATAAGTAAGTATAGACGGTGATACTCTATCTGGAATCGTATACGTTTTATTTTTAATTGTATTTGATGGTGATACTATTTTTTCAGGTTCCATCCTCCACCATTCATCTTTTGGTTGTTCCTGCTCTTCAGGTAACTCTAAATATGATATATCACTACCACTACTGCTTCTATCAATTCCTACACTCTTTTTTAACTTTTCTTCTGGTCTCCAAAACCCATCTTTGTCTTTAAATATTCTTCTACCTATATCGTCCCAGAAATAATAATCATGGGTGTTATTGAATCGAATCGGATGTCTGTTTATCGGAACGTGCCTATATACATTTTCTTGCAAAAGATTTTCCGGATCGCGATCTGATCTCTCCGTATATTCGTTGTAATACCATTCTAAGTAATATTCTAAGTTCGACGCGTAACCATCTGGATGTGCCTCCGGATCTGGCAACAAGGTATTTAGATCGCGAGACTTGTCGAATTTCGTGGGAGTGTAATACTCCGGCAACAATTGTCTCTCGGTTTTAGTACAATATGAATAGTTAACATTTACTTGGTTTATCCATTCTTCTACCTTTCTATATCTAACTTCCCGATCTTTATCGCGAAATTGTCCTGCACTAGGAGGAATTATACATTGACTTTTGTATTTTCCTAGATTTCTTCGAAACATTCCCCATGATATTTTTACTCTATCTACCCCTATCAATTGATACGCGTCTCTGGGTAAATTTACCTCTGGATCTGGCGTTTGATCCAACCATTTTACTATTTTACATCTTTTATTTCTGGGCTCGCTATTCGAGCTTGAATCAGATGTACTGATATTTTCTGTTCTTACCCTAAATTCTTCCTTTACCTTTATCCCTTTTGCCGCTTCTTCGTGTGCTCCTGGGTATGTTTCATCCCAATCAAAGCAATCATCCTCTCCAACATCCTCATCTAACTCTTCCTCTACTAATTTTTCTTTTTCTTTTGTTTCAGGTGGCTCGTGCTTCCCGGACCTTTGGATCTCCCTATCTCTGGCTTCGTCGTATAACCCTTTTTCTTTTACTAATTTTGTTTTTTCTGTTGCAGGTTGCTGACCGTTTTTGGACTCTTGGATCTCTTCGTCGCTGATTTCGTCGTGGGACTTCCTCTTCGTTTGCAACATACCTACAGGTAAGTACGGACTGTCATTCGATAAGTATTCTGAATCGTCCGTTTGAGATGGTATCGATATGGGCCTTTCGCCCCCGCTGTCCGAGGATAACGTAACTTGTTGTCATTATTACTTGCGCTATCTTGTGTGATTGGTGTGTCATTTAACTATCCTAAATCTGGAGTTATACGTCCTTCGTCTATCGGTATACTATCTTCGTTTATTATTTCACCTATATCTTCCGGTGGCTGGTGAATTTGTGCGGTAACCACCATGGTTTGTGGTTGATTGTCATTTATACTGGCGGAATCTTGAGACTCTACCGTTGGATGTTCTTCGACATCGATTTGCTGCTCCAGGGGTGATTCCTGCTTTCCTATAAGATCGATAGTTTGACCTCCGCGTTTGTATCCGTGTTTGTGACACGCTGATTGGTGCGGTCTTAACTGACGTGAATTTGCGTAGCCGGCGTTAGTTCCGTTTGCCCACTGGAGTGCATACGCGTTAGGATTAATGATTTCGGTTACGTATAATGGTCCCTCGTAAATTGGGAATAACTTTTTCGTTTTCCGATGGGCTGCCGAACTGATCTTGTGCGTTTTACGCTATATTTTAGAACCTACTTGATATTCTGCAGCTACACCATGTTTATCCGCTTGTATCTTTCGTCGCTTTGCTGCTCTTTCGAGATTTTCTCGCGACTCTTGCACTCTTTTGTCTCTCTTTTCTCTCTGATATCTGTACTCTTCTGCGCCACCTTGTGGAAGTAACGCAGGTGGTAGCTTGATCAATCCGTCATTTCTGGCTCGTAGTCTGTGTCTATCGTCGTACCAATTGTCGTTGTGCTCCAATGAGATGGGTGGTACTCCCGTTGATGCGTGGGTCGTCATATTGAATATTGGCTCTATTCGAGGTACTGCACGAGTCCATTCTTCGTGATTTTCTGCCAAGTAAGCTCTCAGCGCTCGGCCTAACTCCCGCATAACGCGTTCCACCGGGTTAGCTTGCGGATTGTACGGGGTAGTTCTCTTAATATCGCTACCTACTCGCTGCGCGAATTGTTTTCACTTTCTCGTTAAGAATTGACCCCCACAATCTGATAAAAAGGTCTTGTTAAACCGCGTCTTTCAATGTAATCATTCTCTATTTTATCGATAATCGTTTCGACACGTTGATTCCTGATAGGATAAAACACGACAAATTTTGAAGAAATGTCCATTAGGACCAAACGTACGCGTCGTATTTGCGTGATCTCGGCAACGGGCCGTATAAATCGATGGAAATGACTTCTCCGATTTCGTTAGGTAAATTATAATATTGCTTTCCTACGGTTGGCCTCATGTACCATTTCGTCGCAATGCATACGTCGCACGAAGCGACTACGTCTCTAGCCAGTTCCTCTAATTGGTGGATATCAAAAAGTGTCTTAGCAAATTGTACTATTTTGTCCGTGCTAAAATATATTAAATATTTATATAATTTCTCTAATAAATTCCAGGCAGCTTCCGACGGTATTACTACTCTATCTTTGCCTACTCCATCTCCGATTGTTCGAACGAGTCCGTCTCGTTTGAAGAATCCTTGCGGATCATTATCCATGCGTTGTCGCAGTTCGTCGGAGATTTCCTGGACTGCCCGAATCCACTCCACCCACGAAATTGGATCGTTCTCTTCTCTAGGATCAGCGCTGATGGCTCCTACCTGTTTCTTTTGTTTTTCCACTATATATGCTCCTTCTAATTTTCTTTTTTCTGTTTCACGTCCACGAAGAGAAAATCGGCTTAAAGCATCGGCGATAACATTAATTCGCTCAAGTATCTTATTTTCAGGTTGTAATTATTTAATCGAATCATCCACCTTGCAATCCGGCGACTGTGACATGCACACGATGACAAAAAGAGGAGAGCGCGATGATCCTCACCTCTACCGTTCTACCGTATAGGATCGTATTGAATTTTTTAAGAGCCCATACCAATGCTAGAGCTTCTTGCTCCGTCGTCGGGTAATTGTTCTCTGCCGGTTTGAGAGATCTGCTAATGTACGCCAGTGTATATTCTCGATTTTGCCGCTTATCGTACTGAAACAATCTAGCTCCTATCCCTATCGTGGATGCATCTGTCTCTAATCCGAACGGTAAGTCAGAGTTAATAAGGAACAAGCGCTCCGCTTTTCTGAAAGCTTCTTTGATGCTTTCGAATGCTCTTTCGTGTTCCATCGTCCAATGGCGCTTTGCTCCTTTGGTCAACAAGAGCTCCAACGGACGCGTAAGCTGCGTAAGACCCTATATGAACCTGCGATCCCAATTGACAAGCCCTAAAAAACTTTGAAGTTGTTTCTTCGATTTGGGACGTGGAAAAGCGTTTATGGCCTCCTTGGTGTCTTCTGTCATTCTCACCTGTATGGTGGACAGATTATGTCCCAAAAATTGTACCTGTGGGGTGATGAATTCGTATTTTTCTTTATTTAATTTTACCCCCATTTGTCGCAGTGCTCCAAATAATTCCTTCAGGTGTGTGAAATGTTCGTCAATCGTGTTACTCGCGACGAGTATTTCATCCATATATATTAGTAAATACGGGCGTAGATGTGAAATAGAATCGAGAGTTTGGTCAAGCGCTCTGCTGAACGACGCCCCTGCGGTTTTAAGTCCAAACGGCATCCTTAAGTAAGAGTACGTCTGTCGCGTACGTCAAACGCGAATCCGGTGTATTACATCGAGTCAGGGTGCATGGGCACCTGCCAGTACGCTTGATTTATGTCCAGCTTGCTATATAACCGCTTTTCGCCTATGCGCGCCAAGACTTCATCTATAGACGGTGGTTGCGCGTGGTCTGGTTTCGTCACTTCGTTTATTGCACGTGCGTCTAAGCATAATCTAATCCTGCCGTGCGGTTTCTCCACGACAATCAGTGAGTTGATATATTGGGTGTTCATTTTCTGGATTACTCCCGCCCGTTCCATCTCGTTTATTTGCTGCCTGGCTTCTCCCAAATGCTTGTGAGACACGGGGAATTTTGCGGGTTTGGGTGGCTTTTCATTGGTCACTTCAATGATATGCTGATAATTTTTGATAAGGCCTAATGATCCGTCTAGCAAAGATGCGTATTTATTCAATAAATCATCGAGTTCCTTTCGTACTTCGTCGTTCAGCACTCTTTCGTCCTCCTCCGGGCCCTCTTTCTTCTCATTAGACTCGCTAGGGCTTGTGGATTCCTCCATATCGGGTGCCATCTCCGGTGGTCCTATTTCAGCCAACGGAGCCTTCCACTTTAGTCTCATGCCGTCGTTTTCTCCATAGGTTATCTCAGCAGCAAACGTTTCTAAAAAATCTG